TCCTCCTCCTCATCTTCATCCTCATCCTCATCTTCATCCCAATCCTCATTCCCATCCTCATCCTCTTCTTCCCCACCCACATCATCCTCATCCTCATGCTCATCACCCTCATCCTCCTCATCCTCATCCTCTTCTTCCTCATCCTCATCCTTATCTTCTTCCTCCTCATCTTCTGCATCTTCATCCTCACCCTCCTCCTCTTTATCCTCATCCTCATCTTCATCCCAATTCCCATCCTCATCCTCATCCTCCTCATCTTCATCCCCGCTGCCTTCCCTGGAAATCCGGGAATGCCGCGGGGAAAAGGGGAAAAACTTTGGGATGGGAAAATCGGCCGGGAGCGGATCCCAAATCCCGGCGGGACAGGGCAGGGACGGCCCCGATCCCGCATTTTTTTAAAGGCTGGAGTGGCGGGAATTTACCCCAAAAAAATGGGGGGAAAAAATTCTCCCAAAATCTCCCAAAATCCCTGAGAGGGGCGGGAATTTCCCCTCTGGCTCTCCCGAAGAAATTCCCGGGAATTTTGGGTGTTTGGGATCACTCCCGGCTCGATTTGGGGAATTATTTGGGAATTCGGGATTTTGGGTATCTGGGAATTGGGGAATTATTTGGGAATTCGGGATTTTGGGAATTTGGGTATCTGGGAATTTGGGAATTCGGGAATTTGGGGATTTGGGGATTTGGGGATTTTGGGATTTGGGAATTCGGGAATTTGGCCCCTTGAGCTTCCCCGCGGATCTGGGATTCCCGGGAATTCGGGGTGCATCCCTGGATGGGAAGCAGGGGATTTTTTTTGGGAAAACCGAAGTTTCATTCCCGCATCCAAACCAATTCCTGGCCTGGGTTATCCCGGAGTTTTTCCTTGGCGTGGAATTCCTGCTCCCAGCGCCTCTTTCCCGAGACTTTTTGGGGTAAAACCGCCCAATTCCCGAATCCAGGGATTCCTGGTCAGCCTCTGCTTTTCCCAGCAAAACCCCGGGAATTTTTCCCACCTCCTCCCTCGCCCTTTTCCTGCCATTCCCGACGAAATTCCCAATTTTCCTCGGAAACCAAACGGATTCCAGGCGAGTTCTTTTCCTTTTCCCCGCTCCCAAACCCTCCCAGGAAAATCCCATTTTCCAAAGGGATTTGGGAGCCAAACCCGGCAGCGGGATCGAAGCTTTTCCCGGGAATTTGGGGCAGAATTCCCGGTTTTTGGGCCATTCCCGATGCCTGGAAAAGCCGCCTTACCCCGAGTCCCGCACCATCCCCGGGCTCCGCGCGTTTCTCCTCCAGGAATTCCCAGGATTTCCGCTCATCCATTCATGGAGAAAAGAGGAAAAAACTTTCCCTGGATTCTCCCGAGGTCCCGCGAAGGATCCGGGATGGGAATCCGGGATGGGAATCCGGGATCGATCCCGGAATTCCCGGGGAAGCCGCTCCGGAGCCTCCGAGGAGGAAATTTCGCCGCTTCTCCCCCCAAAAATTCCCCAATTTATCCACGCCGGGCCCGACCCCGGGAGCCTCATTGGCCTCTCCGGTTCCCCCCCTCCCTTTCCCCTCATAAATATGGAAAAGCGGGAATTCGGGATTCCATTGGCTGCGCGGGGAGCCCCGGGAGGGGCGCGCTGGATGCGGGCCGGGAAAAGGCGACGGCAAAAGGCGACAGCTGCTCCCGGGGCTGCTGCCCGGAGGGAATTCGGGAACAGCGGGAAAAGGGCCCGGAGCGGAATTCCCGGGGCCGAAAATTGGGAAAAGGGAGCCGGGAAATTGGGAAAAGGGAGCCCGGAGCGGAATTCCCGGGGCCGAAAATTGGGAAAAGGGAGCCGGGAAATTGGGAAAAGGGAGCCCGGAGCGGAATTCCCGGGGCCGAAAATTGGGAAAAGGGAGCCCGGAGTGGAATTCCGGGGCCGAAAATTGGGAAAAGAGCCTGGAGCGGAATTCCCGGTCCTGAAAATGTTCCTGTCCCCGCTCTGTCCTCGCTGTCCCCGCTCTGTCCCCGCTCGCTGCCATGGCGGTGCTGGCGCTGCCGCCCTGGCTCTGTCCCGGCTCTGTCCCTGCTGTCACCGCTGTCCCCTCTCTATCCCCACTCTGTCCCTGTCCCCGCTCTGTCCCCGCTCTGTCCCCTCTCTATCCCCGCTATCCCGGTTCTATCCCCGCTATCCCGGTTCTGTCCCCGCTGTCCCCGCTCTGTCCCCTCTCTATCCCCGCTATCCCGGTTCTGTCCCCGCTATCCCGGCTCTGTCCCCGCTGTCCCCGCTGTCCCCGCTGGCGCTGCTGGCGCTGCTGGCGCTGCTGGCGCTGCCGCCCTGGCTCTGTCCCCGCGCTGTCCCCGCGCTGTCGCCAGCTGAGCCCCGCGTGTCGCCGCCCGCGGCTCCGGGGCCGTTCCGGGAGCAGCTGCGAGCGCGGCGGGCACCGAGCCCGGGCGGGAGGGGCCGCGAGGGGACCGGGACGGCGACAGCGACAGCGACAGGGACGGGGACAGCGACCGGGGACAGGGGGACAGGAGAGAGGGACAGGACACGGGGACAGGGACAAGGACGAGAGATGGGGACAGTGACGGGGACAGGAGATGGGGACGAGGGCAGCCACAGGAGATGGGACAGAGCCCGGAGCATTCCCGGCGCAGCCGCACCCCCAGATCCCCATCCCTCATTCCCCAATCCCCTCCCCGCCACCCGAGGGGATTTTTTGGGATCGGTCCCGGCCCCTCCCGCATCCATCACTCCCCACCCCGAATCCCAAATCCACATCCATCACCGCAAATCCCGAATCCCAAATCCCACATCCCAAATCCACATCCATCACCCCAAACCCGCATTCCCATCCCAAATCCCAAATCCCACATCCCAAATCCACATCCATCTACCCGAATCCATCACCCTGAATCCCAAATCCCGAATCCCACATCCACATCCATCACCCCAAATCCACATTCCCATCCCAAATCCCAAATCCCACACCCCAAATCCACATCCATCACCCCCAATCCCACAATCCTAAATCCCACATCCCAAATCCACCTCCATCATCCCATATCCCACATTGCCATCCCAAATCCCAAACCCCACATCCAAAATCCCCATCCATCACCCCCGATCCCAATTCCCGAATCCCAAATCCCCATCCATCACCCCCGATCCCGATTCCCGAATCCCAAATCCCCATCCATCACCCCCGATCCCAATTCCCGGATCCCAAATCCCCATCCATCACCCCCGATCCCGATTCCCGAATCCCAAATCCCCATCCATCACCCCCGATCCCAATTCCCGGATCCCAAATCCCCATCCATCACCCCCGATCCCGATTCCCGAATCCCAAATCCCCATCCATCACCCCCGATCCCGATTCCCGCCCCGGTTCCCCTCCCCTCCGCCCCGCGGGGATTTTTTGGGATCGTTCCCGGCGCGGCCGCAGCTGCTCCGGCGGCTCCGGGCGCGATTCCAGCGGGGAACGAGCCGGGAAGGAGCGGAGCCGCCCCAGCGCTTCCCGCCGGGAATTGCGGGCGCTCCTCCCGCCCCGGAGCCTCCGGAACGGGATCGGGGGCTCCGGGCTGATCCCCAAAACGGGGAATTGGGATCAGAGGAATTCCCGGGATTCCCTTGGGGATGCTCCCGGCGCAGCTTTTCCCCCTTTTCCCTGCCGGGATTCCCGCCTGGAATTGCCGGGAATGGGGGATCCCAGCCGGGGATGTGCCCGGATCCCAAAAATCCCAAAGATCCCGCGGAGCTGGGAAGGGTCTGCCGGGATTTTGGTCATTCCCAGTCCCGGGAATTCCTGGGATTTTTGGTCATTCCCAATCCGGGAATTCCCGGGATTTTGGTCATTCCAGTCCTGAGAATTTCCAGCTCAATGTCCCGAATTCCAGGCTCATTATCCCAAATTTCCAGCTCAATATCCCGAATTTCCACGACATTATCCCGAATTCCCAGCTCTGTGTCCCAAATTTCCAGCCCATGATCCCGAATTCCCAGGCTCAATATCCCGAATTCCAGGCCCATGATCCCAAATTCCAGCTCAATATCTCAAATTTCCGGCCCATTATCCCAAATTTTGGCTCCATCCCTTCCTTCCCATCCGTTATCCAAAGCTTTTCCCGATCCCCTCCTCCTTTTCCATGAATTATTTGGGATCCAAATCCCATCCCCTTTATCCATCCAATCCCAAATTCCCTGAATCCCAACGTTCAAGGGGAAAAAACCTGGAAATAACAACAAAGTTTCCTTGGGAATTCCACGGATTTATTTATAATATTTACAAATCCCAGGGAAAAAAAAAAGGGAATTTTTCCATCGGGACATTCCCAGACCCTTTGGAATTCCTCACAATTCCCAAAAATCTCCCCCCCGGGAAACAGGATGGGTCCAAGTGGGAATTCTTGGAATATTTGGGGAATTTGCTGCTCGGGGCACCGGATCCACCCAGAAATTCCAGGAATTTTGGGAATTTCCCACCCAGGGCATCAAATCCAAATGAGAATTTTGGGAATTTTTTGCTCAGGGCATCGAATCCAACCGGGAATTTTGGGAATTTCCCACCCAGGACGTGGATCCCACCTGGAATTTTGGGAATTTCCCGGGAACACCTCTGGCATTTCCAGCTCTGGGGGAATTCCCTGTCGAGGATTTTCTGGAAGTCTCCCCGGATTTTCCAGGAGGTTTTTCCCAGATTTTTTGGGTGGTTTTCCCGGATTTTCCAGGCGGTTTTTCCCAGATTTCCCAGGATGTTTTTCCTGAATTTTCCAGGAAGTTTTTCCGGGCGGTTTTCCGGGATTTTCCCAGGAGGTTTCCCTGGGATTTCCCAGGAAGTTTTTCCTGGATTTTTCCAGGCGGTCTTCTGGAATTTTCAAAGAGGTTTTCCCCGAACTTCCCAGGATGTTTTTCCTGGATTTTCCAGGTGGTTTTCTGGGATTTTCTCCGGGATTTCCCAGGCAGTTTCTCTGGATTTCCCAGGCGGTTTTCCTGAATTTCCCCGGCTGTTTTCCCAGGATTTTCTAGGCAGTTTTTCCCGGATTTTCCAGACGGTTTTCCCGGATTTTCCAGGCCGTTTTTCCGGGATTTTCAGTACCCAGAGGAGCCGGGAGGGGCCGGGATCCTGAAGAGCAGCGAGGCCTTGGAGTTGATGAGGAAGGTGCCGAGCAGGGACAGGAGCAGCACCAGCACCCCAGCGCCAGCGTCAGCAGCTGCGGGAAATGGGGAAAAAACGGGAATTTGGGATGTTTGGGATGTTGGGGAATTCGGGAATTTGGGATTTGGGATGTTTGGGATGTTGGGAATTGGGGGATTTGGGATGTTGGGAATTCGGGAACTTGGGATGTTTGGGATGTTGGGAATTCGGGAATTTGGGATGTTTGGGATGTTGGGAATTGGGGGATTTGGGATTTGGGATGTTTGGGATGTTGGGAATTGGGGATTGGGGATTTGGGATCTGCAGGGACAGGAGCAGCACCAACGCCCCCAGCGCCAGCGCCAGCGTCAGCAGCTGCGGAAATTTGGGAAATTTGGGAAAATGGGATATTTGGGATGTTTGGGATATTGGGAATTGGGGATATTGGAGATTTGGGATGTTGGGAATTGGAAATTTGGGATTTGGGATGTTTGGGATGTTGGGAATTGGGGAATTTGGGATTTGGGATGTTTGGGATATTGGGAATTGGGGGATTTGGGATGTTTGGGATGTTGGGAATTCGGGAATTTGGGATGTTGGGATGTTTGGGATGTTGGGAATTGGGGGATTTGGGATTTGGGATGTTTGGGATGTTGGGAATTCGGGAATTTGGGATGTTTGGGATGTTGGGAATTGGGGATATTGGAGATTTGGGATGTTGGGAATTGGAAATTTGGGATATTGGGATGGTTGAGATGTTGGGAATTGGGGATTTGGGATCTGCAGGGACAGGAGCAGCACCAGCACCCCCAGCGCCAGCGTCAGCAGCTGGAAAAATGGGAATTTGGGATGTTTTGGATATTTGGGATGTGGGCATATTGGGAATTTGGGATATTGGGGAATTTAGGGTATTCAGGATATTGGGAATTTGAGATATTGGGATGTTAGGGATATTGGGAATGGAGATATTGCGGATTGGGAATTTTGGATACTGGGAATTTTGGAGATTTGGGATTAGGGATTTGGGAACTGGGTGATTTGGAATATTGGGGGGGAATTCAGGGATTTGGGATATTGGGGATACTGGAAATTGAGATATTGGAGATTTGGGAATTGAGGATATTGGGGATTTGGGATACTGGGAATTTGGGGATTTGCGCTATTGGGCATTGGGAATTGGGGATGTTGTGGATTTGGAATATTGGGGCTATTGGGAATTAGGGACATTGAGGATTGGGAATTTGGGATATTTGGGATTTGGGATATCGGGAGTTTCGGAGATTTGGGAATTTGGGAACTGGGAATTTGGGACAGTGGGGATTAGGGATTTGGGAATTTGGTGACTTGGAACATTGAGAAAATTGGGGATTTGGGATATTGGAATACCGGGAATCGAGGGCATTGGGACGCTGGGAATTCAGGAGATTGGGGATTTGGGATACTGGGAATTGAGGATTTGGGAATTTGGGATATGGGGGATTTGGGAATCGAGGGCAGTGGGACGCTGGGAATTTGGGGACGGGGACAAACCCAGGGTCCCTCCCGTGTCCCCGTGTCACCTCCAGCTCCCTGCTGGCCACCAGGAAGATCCGGGCCCTGATGTCCTTCCAGCGGCTCTCGGTCCACGTGGAGAATTCCCGGGAATCCCAGCGGCGCAGCTCGAAGGCCGGGGACAGCGCCGGGGACAGACGGACACCGGAGCGGACGCAGCCGGGAATGCGGGATGTGGAATTCCCGTCCAGGGGGCCCTGCACCCACCAGTACTCGTACAGCTGGGGGAAAATGGGAATGAAACAGGGAAAAACGGGAATGAAACAGGGAAAAACGGGAATGAAACAGGGAAAAATGGGAATGAAACAGGGAAAAATGGAATTACACAGGGAAAAACGGGAATTATACAGGGAAAAATGGGAAAGACAACTACGAAATGGGAATTATACAGGGAAAATGGGAACTATATAGGGAAAAATGGGAATTACAGCTGGGAAATTGGGAATCAGAGCTGGGAATGACACAAGGAAAGTGGGAATTACAGCTGGGAATGGCATAGGGTAAAACGGGAATTACACAGGGAAAAACGGGAACGAGAGCTGGAAAATGGAAGTTACACACAGAGGAATGGGAATGGTAACTAGGAAAGAAGGGAATTAACACATGGAAAACCCAAATCCAACCCCAATCCCGTTATCCCAAATCCCAGATTACCTCGGGCACGGTTCCGGGCGTTTTCCCGGGGTTCTGGCACTGCTCCCGTTACCCCAATCCCATTATCCCAATCCCAATCCCGTTATCCCAATCCCAATCCCATTATCCCAGGCTCACCTTGGGCTGTGTTCCCGGCATTTTCCCGGGGTTCTGGCACTGCTCCCATTACCCCAATCCCATTATCCCAATCCCGTTACCCCAAACCCAATCCCATTATCCCAATCCCATTATCCCAGGCTCACCTTGGGCTGTGTTCCGGCATTTTCCCGGGGTTCTGGCACCGCTCCCGTCATCCCAAATCCCCAATCCCATTGTCCCCAATCCCAGATTACCTCGGGCATGGTTCCGGGCGTTTTCCCAGGGTTCTGGCACCGCTCCCGTCATCCCAAATCCCCAATCCCAATCCCATTATCCCAGGCTCACCTCGGGCACGGTTCCGGGCGTTTTCCCGGGGTTCTGGCACCGCTCCCGTCATCCCAAATCCCCAATCCCATTGTCCCAAATCCCGGATTACCTCGGGCACGGTTCCGGGCGTTTTCCCGGGGTTCTGGCACCGCTCCCGTTATCCCAAATCCCCAATCCCATTGTCCCCAATCCCGGATTACCTCGGGCACGGTTCCGGCGTTTTCCCGGGGTTCTGGCACTGCTCCCGTTACCCCAATCCCATTATCCCAATCCCATTATCCCAATCCCAATCCCATTATCCCAATCCCATTATCCCAATCCCATTATCCCAGGCTCACCTCGGGCACGGTTCCGGGCGTTTTCCCGGGGTTCTGGCACTGCTCCCGGCTCAGGTTGGCGCTGGTCCCGGTCAGGTTCCCCAGCACCGCCTGCAGCAGCTGCGTCGTGTTGGTGGGGCTGGACACGGCCACGTAGTGCTGGGGAAACGGGCCTGGAAAAATGGGAAAAACATGGGAAAAACGGGATTGGGAACGGGAAAATCGGATTGGGAATGGGAGAAACGGGATTGGGAAAAACGGGATTGCGAATGGGGAAAGAAAACGGGAAAAACGGGATTGGGAGTGGGGGAAATGGGATTGGGAGTTACGGGGTTTGGAACGGGAGAAATGGGATTGGGAACGAGGAAAACAGGAAAAAAAGGGAAAAATGGGATTGGGAACGGAATTACGGGATTAGGAATGGGAAAAATGCGGAAAATGGGGAAAATGGGATTGGGAAGGGGAAACCCAGGAAAGACGGGATTTGGAATGGGGAAAACAGGAAAAATGGGGAGAACGGGACTGGGAATGGGGAAAATGGGATTGGGAACGGGGAGAAACGGGATTTGGAATGGAAAAAATGGGAAAAAACGGGATTGGGAATGGGGAAGACAGGACTGGGAAGGGCAGAAATGGGATTGGGAATGGGAATTCCAGCTGGGGAACGGGAATTCTGGCCCTAGGGAAACACAGCTGGAAAAACAGCGATCGGAGAGGGGGAAAACGGGAATTGCAACGAGGAAAAACGGGAACTACAGGCAGGAAAAGCGGGGATCACAGCTGATGGGGATCCCCAGCAGGAAAAAGAGGAATTCCAGCCGGAATCCCGTCAGGAAAAAGCGGGAACGGGGGGGTCTCTGCTCACCCAGGATCCCCTTCTGGTCGGGTTTGATCAGGGACTGGAACCAGGAGTTGTTGGAGTTGAGCAGGAACCCAAAGAGCAGCCGAGCGACCTGGGGGGGGGGGGCGAGAAAATTCCGGAATTCCATCAGGGAAAAGGGGCCAGGAAAATGGGGAATCCCGGGAAAACTGGGGAATTCCAGGAAAACTGGGGATGCCAGGCCAACTGTGGATTCCCACCGCGGCATTCCCAGCAGGAATTCCCACCGTTCATTCCCACCGTTCCCGTCAGGAATTCCCACCGTTCATTCCCACCGTTCGTTCCCACCGTTCATTCCCACTGTTCCCGTCAGGAATTCCCACCGTTCATTCCCACCGTTCATTCCCATCGTTCATTCCCACCGTTCATTCCCATCGTTCATTCCCACCATTCCCACCATTCCCATCGTTCATTCCCACCGTTCATTCCCACCGTTCATTCCCACCATTCCCGTCAGGAATTCCCACCGATCATTCCCACCGTTCATTCCCACCGATCATTCCCGTCAGGAATTCCCACCGTTCATTCCACCGTTCATTCCACCATTCCACCGATCATTCCCGTCAGGAATTCCCACCGATCATTCCCACCATTCATTCCCACCGTTCATTCCCACCGATCATTCCCACCGATCGTTCATTCCCACCACGATCCCTACCGTTTTCTCATCCGCCCGGATGTTCTCGGTGCCGTTTTCTCCCCCGGCCAGCGAGAACAGAGCCCGGGCCACCAGCGTGCCCACCCTGGCCAGGGCCTGGACAACGGGACAAACACGGGAAATTCGGGAATTCCGGGAATTCCGGGAGAACGTCCGGCCTCGTCCCAACGCTCCCGGGTCCCTCCCGCCCTCATTCCCAGCTTTTCCCTCCTCTTCCCGTTCCAGACCCCTCAGGATTTATTCCCGGCCCTTTTCCAAGGTTTCCTCTCTCTCCCCATTCCCAAATCCCTCCCAGCTCCTTCCCAGCTTTTCCCACTTTTCCTTCCGCTCCAATTCCCGTTCCTGCCCGGATCCTGAATCCCAGGAATCCCCTGGATCCCAAATCTCAAGAATTCCTTGGATCCCAAACCCCAGGAATTCCCTCAATCCAAACCCCAGGTCCCAAATCCCAGGAATTCTCATCTCCCAAATCCCAGCAATCCCCTGGATCCCAAGTCCCAGATCCCAAGCCCCAGGAATTCCTTGGATCCGAAATCCCAGATCTCAAATCCCAGGAATCCCCAAATCCCAAAAGCTGGATCCCAAACCCCAGGAATGCCTTGGATCCCAAACCTCAAGAATCCCCTGGATCCCAAGTCCCGGATCCCAAATCCCAAGAATTCCTTGGATCTCGAGTCCTGGATCCCAAATCTCAGGAATCCCCCGGATCCCAGATCCCAAATCCCAAGAATTCCTTGGATCTCGAGTCCTGGATCCCAAATCCCAGGAATCCCCCGGATTCCAGATCCCAAATCCCAAGAATTCCTTGGATCCCAAATCCCAGATCCCGAATCTGAAACCCCAGGAACGCCCTCGCTCCCAAATACCAGATCCCTGATCCCAAATCCCAGGAACACCCCAGACCCCAGGAATCCCGGGAATTTTGGGAATTCCGCGGGACCTTGGCGGTGTCGGTGACGTGCTCCAGCTGCTCCTCGGGGCTCATTCCCTCGGGATAACGCAGCCCGACGCTCTCGGCCGTGTCGTAGATGCTCTGGAAGTACCTGGGAACAAAACACGGGAAAAATCTGGGAACAAAATCCGGGAAAAACCCGGGAAAATCCGGGAAAAAAATCCAGGAAAAACCCGGGAATAATCCTGGAAAAACCCAGAAAAAAATCCGCGAAAATCTGGGAAATATCCGGGAACAAAATCCAGGAAAAATCCACGAAAAATCTGGGAACAAAATCCAGGAAAAATCTGGGAAAAATCCGGGAAAAATCTGGGAAAAATACAGGAAAGATCTCGGAAAAATCTGGGAACAAAGTCCAGGAAAAACGCGGGGCTCCCAAATTCCACTGCAGATCCCAGAATTCCTTTGGAAAACCCAGACCGGGGTCACGGGGGGTGATCCCAAAAAACCCCTGTGGGGAAATAATTCCGTGGAAAATTCCAGGAGCAGCCTCCCCATCCCATGAGCTGGGAATGGGAAAATTCCCAAAGGATCCACGGAAAAGATGGAATTCCGAGAGGTTTTAGCAATTCATTGCCCATCAATGGGTGATCCCGGATGGAATTCCAAGGGAATTTCAGATTCCCGGGAAAGCTGGGATGATCCCAAGGGATCCCAGAGCCGGGATTTGCGGTTTTTGGGACTCCAAATTCCCGCTGAGGATCCCAGAATTCCTTCGGAAAACCCAGACCGGGGTCACGGGGGGTGATCCCAAAAACCCCTGGAAGCGCAGAGGAATCAGCGGGGCGAGAATTCCACGGAAAATGCCGGGAGCGGCCTCCGGAAGCGCAGCTGCGGCTCCGGCGCCGCCGGGCTCGGGGCCAGGAACGCTCTCCCGAAAAAAGCCGGAATCTCCTCTCGCCTGTCCGAGCAATTCCCTGCCGCCCTTCCGAGCATTCCCGGCGCTCCCACGGGAAGGGACGGATCCCGCTGGAACGGCCGGGATTCCCGGATTTCTGCGAGATCCTGCTGGAATTCCCGGATTTTACCTGTCCCGGAATTCCCAAATTCCCAGATATTTTACCAGTTCCAGGATTTCTGGGTTTTACCAGTTCCAGAATTCCCGGCATTCCAGGATTTGCACCTGTTCTGGAATTCGTGGATTTTTTTGCCTGTCCTGGAATGCCTAGAATTCCCAGATATTTGACCTGTTCCAGCATTCCCAGCTTTACCTGTCATGGAATTCCCGGCATTCCCAGATTTACCTGTCACGGAATTCCCGGATTTTACCCGTCCCAGAATTCCCAGATTTACCTGTCCTGGCATTCCCATCATTCCCAGATTTACCTGCCCCGGAATTCCTGACATTCCCAGATTTACCTGCCCCGGAATTCCTGGCATTCCTGGATTTTACCCATCCCAGAATTCCCAGATTTACCTGTCCCAGAATTCCCACGTTTACCTGTTCTGGAATTCCTGGCATTCCCAGATTTACCTGCCCTGGAACTAATGGATCTTACCCATCCCAGAATTCCCACCATTCCCAGATCTTACCTGTCCCAGCATTCCCTTCATTCCCAGATTTACCTGTCCCAGAATTCCTGGCAATCCCAGTTTTACCTGTCCCAGAATTCCCAGAATTTGCAGATTGACCTGCCCTGTCATTCCCAGATTTACCTGCCCTGGAACCCCTGGAATTCCCAGTTTTACCTGTACTAGAATCCCCAGATTTACCCGCCTCATCGTTCCCAGATTTACCTGTCCCAGAATTCCCACGTTTACCTGTTCTGGAATTCCTGGCATTCCCAGAATTCCCGCCATTCCCAGATCTTACCCGTCCCAGCATTCCCTTCATTCCCAGATTAACCTGTCCCAGAATTCCCACGTTTACCTGCCCTGGAATTCCCGGCGTTCCCGGATTTACCTGCCCTGGAATTCCCGGCGTTCCCGCGCTTTACCTGTTCCGGAATCCCGCCCGGTGGTCGCTCAGCACGGCCCCCGGGATGCTCCGGGACCTCAGGAACCTCTGGAATGACGAGGGGGGGAGGGGCTGGGATACGCCCGGCTCCCGCACGGAAACCCCGGAGCCGGAGTTCTGGAGCGCGGACAGGAGCCGCCTGACCTGGGAAAACAATGGGAATGATGTTGGGAATGCCGGGAATGACAACGGGAACGATGGGAATAACGGGAATCCTGAGGGGCTCTGGGATGTGGGGAAACCCCGGAACTGGAACTGGAGCTGCGGAGCTTGGAAAGGAGATCCCGGACCTGGGAAAACAACGGGAATTCCCATTGGGAATGACGGGAACGATGGGAATGACAACGGGAATAACAACGGGAATAATGGGAATAACGGGAACGATGGGAATGATGGGGGGTGATGGGATGTGGGGAAACCCCGGAGCCGGACCGCTGGGGCTTGGAAAGGAGATCCCGGACCTGGGAAAACAACGGGAATTCCCATTGGGAATGACGGGAACGATGGGAATGACAACGGGAATAATGGGAATAACGGGAATGACGGGAATAATGGGGGGTGATGGGATGTGGGGAAACCCCGGAGCCGGACCGCTGGGGCTTGGAAAGGAGATCCCGGACCTGGAAAAACAACGGGAATTCCCATTGGGAATGACGGGAACGATGGGAATAACAACGGGAATAACAACAGGAATAATGGGAATAACGGGAACGACGGGAATGATGAGAGGTTCTGGGATGTGGGGAAATTGTGGGGAAACCCCGGAGCTGGAACCGGAGCTGCGGAGCTTGGAAAGGAGATCCCGGACCTGGGAAAACAGCGGGAATTCCTATTGGGAATGACGGGAATGACAACGGGAATAACAACAGGAATAACAACAGGAATAACGGGAATAACGGGAACGAAGAGGGGTTCTGGGATGTGGGGAAACCCCGGAGCTGGAACCAGAGCTTGGAAAGGAGATCCCGGACCTGGGAAAACACCGGGAATTCCTATCGGGAATGCTGGGGAATAACGGCATTCCCTGGGATGGGGAACATTCCCAGGATTGGGAACATTCCCGGCTCACCTGGGCGTCCACGGATTGGTTCCGGCGGGAGACGGGATCCGTGTGCACCCAGAGCTCGGAATTGTTCATCAGGGACACCTGGAAAACAGCCGGGGGGGGAAATTGGGGAAGAATCAGGGATGGGGCGGGAATTCCTGGGAAAAATCAGAATTGGGACGGGAAATTCAGGGAAAACTCGGGAAATTCCCAGGGAAATCAGGGAATTCCCAGGACAGGGTCCCCGGAACGTTTTCCCCCCGGACCTGTCCCAGCTCCAGGAAGGCGCCGACGTTCTCCAGGCGCAGCGGGAACTTCTCCTGCTCCATGTCGAACACCAGGCGCGAGCTGCCGATGTAATCAAAGCTCTCCTGGGAAAGGGAACGGAACGGCGGGAATGGGAATGGGGAAAGGGGGAATGGGAAATGGGAATGGGGAAATGGGAATGGGGAAATGGGGAATGGGAAATGGGAATGGGGAAATGGGAATGGGGAATTGGAAATGGGAATGGGGAAATGGGAATGGGGAATGGGAAAGGGAAATGGGGAAATGGAATGGGAAATGGGAATGGAATGGGAAATGGGAATGGAAATGGGAATGGGGAATGGGGAATGGGAATGGGGAAATGGGAATGGGAATGGGGAATGGAATGGGGAAATGGGAATGGGAAAGGGGAATGGGAAATGGGAAATGGGGAAAGGGGAAATGGGAATGGGGAAATGGAATGGGGAAATGGGAATGGGGAAATGGGGAATGGGAAATGGGAATGGGGAAATGGGAATGGGGAAATGGAATGGGGAATGGGAATGGAAAAGGGAGAAAAAAGGGAAAGAGAAATGGGGAAAATGGGAAAGGGGGAATAGGAAAAGGGAATGGGAAAGGGGAATGGGGAAAGGGAAATGGGGAATGGGAAAGGGGAATGGGAAATGGGGGAAAGGGGAAATGGGGAATGGGAAAGGGGAATTGGAAAAGGGAATGGCGAATGGGGATGGGAATGGGAAATGGGGAATGGGGAAAGGGGAAATGGGGAATGGGGAATGGGAAAGGGGAATTGGAAATGGGAATGGGGGAATGGGGATGGGAATGGGAAATGGGGAACGGGGGAAAGGGGAAATGGGGAATGGGAAAGGGGAATTGGAAATGGGAAATGGGCATGGGGATGGGAAAGGGGGAAATGGGGAATGGGGAATGGGAAAGGGGAATTGGAAATGGGAAAGGGGAATGGGGATGGGAATGGGAAATGGGGAATGGGGGAAAGGGGAAATGGGGAACGGGGGAAAGGGGAAATGGGGAATGGGAGAGGAGAATGGGAAATGGGAAATGGGGATGGGAAACGGAACGGAACGCCGGGAATGGGGAATGGGAAAGGGGAACGGGGAAAGGGGAGAAAGGGAGAAGGGGAATGGGAATGGGAATAGGAAAGGGGAAATAAGAACAGGGAAACGGGAATGGGAAAGGGGAAGAGGAGAGGAGAAAATGGGAAACGGCAAAGGGAAAAGAGAAAATGGAAAGGGGAAATGGGGAACGGGAATGCAGAAACGGGAAAGGGGAACGGGAATGAGAAAGGGGAATGAGAAAAGGAAAAGGGAAAAAGGGGAAAGGGAAGGGAGGAAAATAGA